AATAATAATATTGATTTATTAGTTATACTACACTACAAACACATAAATTATATGTCAATTCTGTGATACAAGTACTGCGAGGCGTACAGTGAGACACTATATCATCATTATAATTGATAATCGATTTTAATGGCATTCAGAAATTTTTGATTTAAAAATATTATCAATCTATACTATAGATTCTATAGACATAATACCATAGAAATATTCATTAAATGAGATCATTTGTGATAAAAACAAAAAGATAGAAGTTTTAAAAAAATATTTTCAAGCATTTGTCACCAATTTTTCCAATTGATATTTTTATTATACATGTAATATGTTTTAAAACCAAAAATATTTGATAGAAAATTACTAAGTTATCCTTTTTCAAACTATTTGGTAATATAAAAAGGAAATGCATAAAAAAATTTGATTTTGTAATTAAGTATTAATTAGCATAATTTTATATAATTTCATACTACAGTATGTCACGCATAAGAATTTTATATTATGGTGAATAAATTATTGATACAGTCATTATGAATAAATTTAAACCGACCATAATTTTAATTTTTTACCACAAACTTATGAATTTACCCTTACTTTTTACTGACTTTTACTTTTAAATTATTTATTTTTTAAATTAGAAACTTCTTTGATAATAATAATATTATTATTAATAAGCAAATATTAGATTATTAAAATAAAGTTTGTCTTAATTAAAAAAAATTCATTCGTTAGTAAAATAAAAAGAAAATGTTCAAAATGAATATTAGATTACATATTTAAATAATAAATAAGGGAAATTTTACTTAAATTATTAACGAGATAACTCTAACTCCATTTAACCACCGATTTATTATAACCGCAGTTGTGATAAACCTTTTTTGATAAATAGTAACCGGATTTATGTAATGTCACAAAGCAAGCATATATTATGAATCAGTCATAGTATTTAAACTGTCATTTGGCAGTGAATTATGGATTATATAGAAAAAAGCCAAGAATTGTGAGGAATATGTTAAGCCGTGTTAAGTGTAAAACTGAAGCACCAGTGCTCACGTCATACATGGTATTCAATGCCAACACTTATGGATAATCAGTGAACAAACAGCGCACAAGAAGTACCCGAAAATCAAATACAATAAGTACTCACAAAAGCCTCAATGACTGCAATCCGAGGAAAGTTTTGCCACCCATTTTGAACAATGAATTCTTGGATAAGTCGCTGAAATTGAATGAATGAATGGTTAGAAATAAAATAAATGTTAAATGGATAGGAAATGAATGGTTAGTAACAGTGCTTACAGTGACGCCAATTTGATTAATCCACTGAACACTCCATCGTCTATATCTGTGATCACATTATTTGATAAATCGCTACAAATTCAATAAACATAAGACCAATCATTAACCAGTGGCTAAATGTTTGAAAAATATAATTACGTTTGGCCTAAAGGGCCGCAAATATTGCGAAATATTTTATTGTAAATTTTTTATGCAAACATCAAATATTTAAGGGTTTGAATTCGCAAAAATAAATATCCGTTTATTTGCTGTTTTATAAAATGTTTGCTTATTTCTGCGTCAATTGGATTTGCATTTAGATTAATATATTCATAGGATTTTATGTTTACTTCAAAATGGATTACTTGTTATACAAAATCTAGTATGAAAAATAATCCATTATATCCACTAGTATTAATAACCCATTATTCCAATAATTATAAGATATATTTTATCGTAACATATTATAGTTATACAATATATAATATTACATTTTAGAAATAATATTATTTTATGCTTAAGAAAGTTCTAAATTTAGATATTTCTGGATAAATAATTGATTATATTTTTTATACTAATTCTCAGCTCTTAAGACAAATACAATCCTTTAAAATGAAAATTTAATTCATACAAGAACATTAATATGATACATATAAAAAGTTATTATTTTTCAAAGAGTTTTTGGATAATCCTAACGAATTTGTTACTAAAAATATTGTTTTTATTTTTCAATTTAAATATTAAAAATTGTAATTTCTATTTTACGGTATAATATTTAAACTCAAGAATTATAGCATTAATTATAAGAATAATGTATTGAATGAATACATACAGAGTGCTGAGTGAACGTAAGCCGACGAATGAATTCTTGGAGAGAACTCCTATTTGTTGATGACTTAAGTCTCTGCAAACAAATGAGTTGTCAAACCGTTAAATATTTGCATTCATTACATTTTATTTGTCATCAACCAATTAGTTTTACTCAGTTTTTGTTTTTGTTTCAAATCATTTCATATAAGTTGTTTTGGTTATTACCGGTATAGATTAAATTGATAATTTTCGTGTCAAACTAATGTCTAGTTTTCAAAAGTATGGGAAATATTAGTAAATATTTTTTTAATGTTTTAAATCTCAATTTTTATTAATACTGCAATAGATACTGTAATACTATAATTATTCTCCAATATTTAGTAATTAATTGTATTTTAATTTAATGATTATTTAAATCTCAGAAATTTTAAATCTAATTATTCGTCAAATAATCTCAAATTAATTGGCGTAAGCTTTTATAAATGTTAATTACCTTATCAAAAGGTATTTACTTTTGCTAATAGATCACAAACAAAACATGTGACAAAATGTCAAGTAATCAAATATTACCGTATATGTCTTGCCAGTATATTGTAAAATGTTGTAGTTTTTAAATTCTTTAACTGTTATATCAAATTGTTAAGCATAAAAATTACAACTAAAACTAAACATATATAATTGTAAAGATATACATTATAATAATGAATTGTCTGACAATGAATTGTACATGTTTTGTGTGTTTGAGTGTTCGGCAAACTAATGGTAAAATCAATGCTTACAATGCATTCAAAGAAGTCAATCCACTGAATGAGTATTCATGTATTGTTGAGATTCTGTTTCCGATTAATGTTCTGTCGGTTTCACGAATCAAACGAAACAAAAAGAGAGAGAAAGAGAGAGAGAATACATAATTTCAGTTCAAAAGAGTTTTATTCTTTGCTGCAATCGATTGAATAAATATATTATTTTTAAATTTAAAAATTTTTCTTATTTCCTAAGTATAGTAAGCATTATAAATATCATATAAAATTCAAAGTAAAAATGTCATTAGTATTCATACACTGTTCCCAAGTTAGGAAGTCCTGAAAAGGTGTGCGGATCTAATCGCTCGATCATATTATTCTTGAGATGCCTGTAGACGTGAACAAAACATTTAGTAAAATGATTTGAAAATGTCAATTCAAACATTGAAATAATAATATATTTTAATTAAAAACTTACAATATTCTGAGTTTCCAGAGATTCTTGAAGAGACCCGGAGGCAAATATGTAATTTGATTCTCACTCAAGTCTATTGTATGCATTCTCTCGAATCCTACAAACATTTTTGGTTTCAAATTCTTTCCCAATTGATTGCCTTTAAGTATCCTTTAGTCAAATGTAATCAAGTTTTAGTCAAATACTGTACATGTGTGTAATATAGTACTACAGAATCTGTATATTCATATAAATGTTGATATTTTTTTGAAAACGAATATCATTTCTAAAGGAAATACCCTTTATAAAAAGACCTTTATTAAATGAATTTATTTATTTCAATATTTTATTCCATTCTTAAACATGTTATGTATTCAATAGTTAATTGTAATCTCTATTAGACTAATAGCCATCATATGCCCTCTTTCAGAGAAATACAAATGTTTCAGTCTTGTTAGTGCAGGTAAATTGAATTTAAAAGGATTAACACCTAATATGTCATAAAAATAAGTGAAATAATTAAATTAGACAAAAATCAATTTCCGACAAATTAATGCCAACTTTAATTTGTGTATTATTGAGTTAATGATATTTAATACTAGCATCTCATTATTACAGTAACATATTAGAGTCATTTGATTAATCGTGAAGAATTTTCCCAGAATATTCTTTACATATGATGTGAAACTTTATTTTATAAAATATTTACCCAATGATACTCTCGGCCTACAACTGCTGTAAATTAGATATTTGTTATAAAAGTCTTGTTTATATAAGTTATAAAAAGTGTAATAAGAGCTCAGAAATGTTTGATACGATCGTAAATATTTTTGAAAATAATTTTTTCTGTGAATAAGTTTCGAAATATAAAGTAAACAATAAGCTTATTTTCTCTCTAAAACTTCTCTGATTTTATGGTAGTTTTTATACCAATATTGATGCATATACTGTACTAATCTTACAGTGAAAGAGATTTAAAGATACAGTAAGAAAATAAAACACATTATTCTTTATATAAGTAAAAATATTTCGCAAACATTAAGCACTTAAACATTGCACAAGTACACAAAGTTTTATTCAAATCTTTTTGAATACTCCATATAAAAATGTTTTTATGCACTAATTGTTGTTTATAAAAATAAAACTACAAATCAATACACATTTGTATTAAACCCACATTGAACATAAATCTCTTAAGTTATAAGACTCCTTCATATTTTCACTTAAGAATTGAACAAAAAGACTGTTGACCTAAAAATAACAAAATTGAAAAATTGATATAAAAAACGGAGACATTAATTATTGGCCGAAAAGTACATTTCATAATAAGGGACAGTAAAAGACAGCAATTTATATCACATACTAAATTAGAGTCCAAAAAATGAAAAAAGTTTTAAAAGCTTATAATAATTTGTTGGTTTCACTTACATTCTCAATATCTCTGATTCAATATTAAAGGGTATCTCTAGGAGTCCGACATCTGTGCAGTTGATAGTCGTGTCAATACATGGACACCGATTGTCAGATGAACACGAAAATGCTATATAATATTGGGGGTGACATCAATGGTAAGGATATATAAGATATTTGATATGATAGTAAGCTTATAAAGGGCACTACACATATTTATCGATCAATTAAGCGACAGATTATAAAAGTTTGTGTGAAGTACACGTTGAAACATATTAAACACTAATTAAAATGTATCGCTAATTAAAATAAATGATATCTTAATGAGTTTTGAAGGCGTAATTGCCGAAAAAACCTAATTATAATTAATTGATTTATTAATAAAATGAATTCACAACTAAAATGAAGTTAATTATCACCGATTCGTTCATTGAATAGAAATTATTAGATTCATAAAAAACTTTTAATAAGCTGATAAAAAAGGTTTTAAAAACAATAAACAAATATTAAAAGCTTAAATAAAAATCTTAAAAATTTTAAGACAGACAGACATTTAGAAAGCAAAATGGTAAAGTATATAAAAACATTTTACAAATTGCTTTTTAGTTCACAACAAAACAAAACAAAATAAAGAAAACTATTGAAAAAATAGAGTCGATTTGGAATCGCTTTCACTTCAATCACAACTTTTCTCCACAACTTTTTTTTTGATATATAATACAAAAAAATATAACGAAATCAATGGAAAGACTATTGAAAAAAATGGTATTATTTTGTCGTTTAATCGATGCGATGGAAAGAGAAAACTTATTTTAAGGATAGAGACAGACATTAGCGAAATGTGTGCCGAAAAAAATGGTTGACATATATATTGTCTAAAAACTCACGACAATTGTCTTCATCGGCCCAATCGGAAAGCATTGGGCACTCAATCTTGCCGTTGCATTTCAGCTGTCCGTCCACACAATAACTGTCGGCGCACTTGATCTGGTCGTCAGAGCACTGCCACTGCGAACAGTTCTTGAGGTTAGACCTGTCGGCGCAACCATTCCGCGGGTCGACCGACAGAAAGCACT